AAGGGCGAGTCAAAATACAAATAACGAGTAAAAATACTCAGCGATACTACACAATAAAACGTCTAATAAGTTATTTATTATCCAACACGCCAAACTGTTATTTCAGTGCGAGCGAATTTCGCGGACATTTATTTATGGGGAGTGCGTGACAGAAGTATGCGAAGCGGAACGGAATTGGCGCGTTGTTTTGTTGCTGTTTCTATTTTCTTTATTAAATGAAGAAATTTTCTGGTCGTCAAGCTGTTTTTCTTCGTTCTATTCATCTAATGAACCTGGATCTATATTTGCCAGCCATTCTGACTATTCTTCGTCGGAAATATGATTCAAATTGGCCGGCCCTCTTTTTTTTTCGTAACTACAATCCAATTCTTCGCTTGCGCGATGCGAGAAAACCTATTTAACCGGTACTAGAATAGACGAGCATAAATACCACGTGATATTTGTACTCGTCTATGGCGTTATTTGTACTCGTTTAAGTGTAGTTGGATAATGATGGATATTATTGTTAACTAAAATCCTGTTATTATTGCTTTCATCGTGGTGATTATTGTTATTGTCATTATGATGATCATTATCGTTCTCATTATCAAAATTCTTAAAACCATTGTCAGTGTTATCAGTCGTTTTCCTACTATTATTATTTTCATTGTTATTAGCTTTATTATTATATTCATAACTGCGCTGGCCTGCGATCTTAAGGCCAGGGTTATCTCTTTAGGTGCCAGACAGCAACAAGTTACTTTGTCTTATGTTACCCACAATTCAAAACTTTCCTATCTCGACGTTCAGTGCTTTAGTACTTTTTCAAGATTCTAGTGATTTCAAGAAGAGTGGTTTCTTTCGTATGAGTGCACTGAAATGTTTACTTTCAAGATTGTTTTGTCTTGCTTCCCTAGGACTGTGCCCAATTCACCGAAACTACTAGCAGTATCTTGGCTCGAACTCCCAACATTTCCCTGTCTCTTGCTAGGTTTTGACGAAATTATCACCTTTTTCCCTCCTATTCCTAAACACTGCGTCTCGGGGACTGCGATCTCAATTACATGCTCCCTCTTACATGCAAACTGACTCAATTAAGGGCAACTACTTGCTATATGATTAAGAGCGTGTCCACGAGAAAACCGGGCAGGGGGCGATAAACCTCAAGTCACCGATTTGGCTCAAACTTGGCACAAATGCTAAGTATCATGAGTTAACAAATGTGTGAAAATAATAGGTCAAAATATTTAATTCCCTGGGAGATATAGGGTCCCCCTGGGAAAACCCCATTTCCAGCATTTTTTGCATAATTAATTAGCAAACTTTGCATTGCTGCTGTGACAAACTGAAGATCCATCTGCAAATTCAATCAACTGGGTTGTACTCTATATCTATCAGACTTCAAGAAAATTGAATTTTTTTAATTTTTTATTCCATTTTTTCCCTTACGTCTCGCTTAAATAAAGACGACTTTTTCTGGTTTTGACAAAGTCCAAAAATACGGGTACTTTAAGGCCCAATATCTCCGATGACCAACCCCTCATTATTCCTAGGTGGGCAGTAAAAGCCATCACACAAGTGATTTCTATAAACGTGTAAGTTTTTGTAACCATTTTCTTTTTTTTTCCATGTGCCGAGAGGAGACCAATATATCACTAACTTATTTGTTTTTCGGTGAATCAGAAACTGTTGAATCTCGAACGTGGACGTTCTAATTTGAAAAAGATTTATCAAAGTTTGGCTTGGTTGATGTTCGCACAGCCGTCCACAAGCTGGGGAAGGAAGCGACATCTTATTAAAAATGCCAGGATATCGTATCTCGAGTGTGGACAAGAACTCCATTGCAATAAAGTACATCTGCAACTCCTGTGACCTGCTGCTACGAGAGGCCATGCAGACAAGCTGTGGGCATTTCTACTGCCAGTCCTGTTTGCCAAGTCTTGTTAGGTAAGTGATTATTAACAATGGGGATCCTTCTCCACTCTAGTTAGATAAAATACTTAAAGAAAACTTTGAGTGAAGCATGAAAAAAAGAATCTTCCCTACTCCTGTATAAAGCAAGCAGAGACCTAGATCCCTGTAAAGCTTGGTCACGCAGGGCGTCTTTCACGAAAGACGAGCTACTTTTCTTAACAAGGTTAGCTCTAATGGCTGAAAAAAGAAGACCAACACCAACGTCAGTAGGCTTACATCACTTTTCTGAGATGAGACCTGTGGGTCCCAACGACATACAATTCGTCAGCTTTATGCCCATAGAGATTGCTGAGAGCCATAATGATAGAATACGCCATGAATTTCTTTGAATTACTTTTCCAGGACGACGAAGCATCGAATGAAGCTTTAGCTGCAATAATACTAGCCGCTAACTTTAGGTTGACCCACCCACTTACCCATCCTGTCATTGTTTCGACAGAGGTTTTCCCAGTTCGGAGTAGTTATTTGGGGACAATGGGGCCCTAAAATTTAAACATTTGATTCTTATGTGCCAAACGTCACATGATTCAATTTGTTATCTGATATTTAGGGATCCGTTGTCTCTTGTGATGGTTTGCTTAAAGGACCAGACGAGCCTTCACCAAAACGAGGTATGTGGAGAGAGCGAGTAACAAACTGATTAATCCCAGATTTTTAAGTTTCGCTGACCACGTTGTAATTAGCACTCTAAAGGGGAAGCTAAAGCAATGGCGATACCGTAAAAAGAGGCCGCCCTTCTTGGACTGGAGAGGGGTCCCAGTGATAATGAAACTTACCCCGTTATTTAAAACACGGTTACCCCAGTCACTTCACCAAAGAAAGGAGGGATAAGCTATTATCAGTCAAATGTAAGGTATCGGTTTACCTATGTAATTACTCACCCTGTGTTATCATGAATCTGAAGGCTCTCTCCAACGACATCTAAATTCCTTTTTTGACCAAAGAGGGCACAGCAATGTTTTAGAAGTGTGCAAAAGAACGGGAAACTTGTCTTCAAACCTTTTAAGTGATGTTTAAGAGTATCGAAATGATGGAACTCTGCTGTTTTTTTTAACTGATTGTAAATAGAAGTGCATATTGTTATGGGAAAGGGTGTCTCCTAGTGGTTAAGACGCTAAAAATTGGTGTTTCTTAGCTGAAGCACCCCTCCCTGCCACCCTTTGAATTTGTTGTCCCTCGTTTCTAGTTCAAATTCTTTACTATGCTCTGTGCAGTTATCACCACCAATCAGCGCTTTTCATCACCCACGAGCTTTTTCAGCAGCTAAATGAATAAAGGGGTAACTTTCTAAAGAGACTGTGGTGCTGCGTCGGTGGGGGTGCCACAAGATAATTTGGTTTTATCAACTGAGTTAATAATATAGACGTAAGGTATGGTCCCGTGGGAAACAGTAAGTTTTGTTTTCCTGAGTCCTGGCCCCGGTCGTTCAAAGGATGGATAAATTTATCCACTGGATAAGCTTATCCGGTGGATAAAAAGGCTATCCACTGAATAGTTCTCCAGCGGATAAAAAGTTGTTGCAGAAAGCACGGAAAGCGAGACGTATAACAATCCGGCTCCGGTTGTTCAAAGGGCGGATAACGCTATCCAACGGATAAATCGCTATCCAGTGGATAAGTGTTACCAAAATGTACTTCGCTATCCACCGGATAGAGATTTTTCCAGTGTATAGCGTTATCAATCCTTTGAACGACCGGGGCCTGATGTTTCCCTCGACTTCGTCGCGGGAAACATCAGGACTCGACGGTAAACAAAACTAACCAGTTTCCCTAGGGACCATACATTAAGTGCTTTGTTGTGTATTTAGACTTTCTCTTAAACAATATATGGCAAAAACATGTTTTGTATTCCGGGCGCGCGGGCAACAACTGCGCAATTGTATCCCGGTCGGGATACATTTGAATTTGATCAGGGCACGTGGTCAAGAATCAACCAATCACAGTGCTCGTTTTGTTGAGTGAAAGTCCAGGTATATAACAATGTTAATTGACTGCCGTGAATAGTCTCTAAAGCTGGCGTTTCTAGCGTTAGTTCTTCGTCAGAACGAATGACGCTCGAAACATCAGCTTTAAAAAGACTACACGGTGATCATCTTACATTATCAACTCGGTTGATAAACTAAATTACCTTGTTTCAGTAGCTTTTTTCCTGGAGCCTGAAAAGCTCTTTGGGGAGTGGCCATTAAAGATAGTATTTTATTATAATACATTATCATCATTACTTCTTCTTGTGGACAGGAAGATTATCACAATAACAGACTACCCTGTTTCCCTTGTAAACTACTTGCCCTCCCTACAGCTTTGGGTTTGAATCCTCCGCATACCTTTTTAGGAAAAGAACTTACGTATTTTTATGTTTATCTTAAAACAGCGACAAAGAAATGTCAATCATACAACTTGCGCTTTAAAAATCAAGTTGAAAGGTGTTAGTTTTATCAAAAGCATGATCGAGAAATATTAACCCTTGACGACCAACCTATCTACAAAGTAGATGACCTAAAACTGGCGGCATCTGCTCATAAAGCTCTTTTATGCTTGACAAAAGTACAAGAAAGTTTTGAAACATTTTACATGGACAAACGTTATCGTTTCCTCTTCAGGTTTTCTTCGACAAATTTATGGGTCGTGAAATACTCGCAATTGTCGTTCATTGTACATTTATGGAGGATGGGTGTATTTGGAAAGGAGAAGTGAGACATTTAGAGGTATAAAAATCTGTGAGCATCTAGCTCTAGAATCTTGACAAGATTTGTTCTCACTTTCATCACTCATAAGTGTTTGCGCAATAACAAAAATTGCATTTTGTTGATTTAACATTCAATGTGAGGAACATAGTTGCAAGAACCGGTGCCTGTGCATTTTGGAACCTTTGACAAGAGTGCACGGCTGTGCAAACCCAAAATGATCCTGCAGTGATCCCATTCTTCGAACTGATTGTCATTTTTCTTATTGTCGATCCTGAAATAATCCCAACTGCAAAAAATGAGAGAATCTTGAGTCACTAGCAGTAGTAGTGAGCGAATTCCGATAGATAGATGTATATATATTTAGTAAATAAACCCCTTCGGGCGGCTGGTATGTCGGCTGATAATGTCCGCGGCTGAGAGATTGTCCGAAAAATGAGTATTTGGCCGAGAAGCGAAGCTTCGAGGGCAAATATGAAATTTTAAGGACAATCTCTCAGCCAAGGAGATTATCAGCCGACATAACAGCAAGCCAGAACGGGGTTTATTTATTTTATAACCCTCCCATTAGTTTTCACATCACAATTAAACTGCACGTAAACACAGTAAAAAAGCCAGTGGTGACCTGATGGCGAATGCGCGTGATTGACGCAAGCAAGCAAAAATAACGAGTTTGGTTTCTTTCCATGTAAATAGGAGAACGGAAAAGTTTAAACTCTTGTGTTGACAATGTTTCTTTTTCACGGAAAAATCGGAGGACAGATATCGACGCGGACGAGGGGTATTGCGTGATAACTGTCCTGTGATTTTGCACCACGTGACGTAAAGAAACCAATAAAATCGTGCCATAATTAATAGGTGGGTTATAATTAGTAATAAACCGCACTTATAGCGCTTATCTGGATTAATAACCAATAGAGGATGTCGGGAAAACGAGAAAAGTTTGTAATTTACAAACTCCTCGTGTTCTCCCAACATCCTGCATCGGTTATTAATCCAGACAACCGATGGAAATTGCAGTTTATTGCTTTTATCAAATAAACTTCAATCTTTCTATGGTTTTATCGGTGAAATAGGTGTTAAACAATCGTAGCACTTGTAGTATCTCAGTTATTTCCTATATATTCCTTTATATATATATTAGATATAGCTCTTTGGCATACAAAGCTTTGCTTTCATGTCCAAATTGAGCACTCTATCTAGGATGAGTCATCGCTGTTGCAATTGCGCATGCTCGCTAGTTTTTACTCTAGTTTGAGCACTCTGGCATGGCTTAGACGATACCACGAGTGTGGGATCGTTTGGGGATTGATATCGGTTCTCCCCCATCCTAGCATCTGCACTGCACTGCACTGATCAGGCCCAGAAGGCCGAAACAGTACTGTCTGCAGTTATATATATATATATATACGTATACATATATATATAGATATAGTAAGTGTAAAACGATGAAGCATGAAGCAAACTTCTAACTGTTCCAGCTTTAATGTGGCGACGTTTCGGCCTTCGGCCTTCTTCAGAATGACCTGAGTTTATACTAAACGTAAGAAATTAAAATAATATTACGTAATGCACTCCAGACCTAAATAATAGGATATAATAATGAGTAAAAGGCAAGAATGTACAAGGGGCGAAATAACCACGATTGGTTGCGAAGAGCTCAATTACATTGAGTTAAATTCAGGTCATTCTGTAAACCTACTAGGACTTTTAGTTTTTATGTAAATACGTTCCACCTGAAGAGGGCCGAAGGCCGAAACGTCGCCACATTAAAGCTGGAACAGTTAGAAGTTTGCTTCATGTTTCATCGTTTTACACTTACTTAAAATTTTCGTTGAAGCACTGTATCCTCCTTGGATCCTTCTACTAGGAGCTCATCGTTCGGTTTACCTTTTTATTCTGTTTAATTCAAGACTTTTTATTGGCTTAGCCATTATGGTATATGAGCCAATATACCATAATCTAATATCTATACATTGTAACATCCGATTTCTTCTAACAAAATAAAGTCGAGAAGATTTGTCCAATATCGTGGGGGCGCTTTTTTAATAAAACAATTATTCCACTCGCGCTTGTTAGATATGAGATGATTATAGCCAACGAGGCGCGTAGCGCCGAGTTGGCTATCTATCATCTCATATCCAACGCGCGCTCGTGGAATAATTGTTAAATATATATATACATATAACTAACTGCAGACAGTACTGTTTCGGCCTTGTGGGCCTCATCAGTGCAGTGCTGATGCTAGGATGGGGGAGAACCGATATGGATCCCCAAACGATCCCACACTCGTGGTATCGTCTAAGCCATGCCAGAGTGCTCCACTGAACTAGAAGAGCCTAGTGAGCTATGTACAATGCTAGCGGCGATGACTCATCCCACAGTGCTCTTCCCTCGACTTCGTCGCGGGAAANGTGGCGTAACCAATTGTAAAGAAGCAATGCAGCAAGAAAAAAAGGGGAGGCCCACTTTTAACTACAACTGTAAACCGTAACAAAATCCCAAAACAAGGCCTTTGGAGCCCGAAAGGGCAAATTAGCAACAAAATCCCTGGAGGGGCCCTTAAATGATACTAATCATAATAAGATCCCTTGGCAGGGCCTCTGAGTCCAATCCACACCTAAAGGGCCGACAAAATCCAAGAAAAGGGCCTTTGAACGATCAATTAGTAGCGCCTAATATAAGATGGAAAATTAATTATAGCAAATTCTATTTTTCGAATGAAATTCCTTTCTTTTATTCAAACCATGGGGTGCCAAAGAGAACAACTGAGCACTCCAATAAGCCTCTTTTGTGATTAAAAGCCTATCGATCTCTTCAGAGCCACTAGGGGCCTGTACCTGATCAATGCATTGGAACGAAAAATCGTCCAGGGTGTGTGGGGTTTTGTTAAAGTGTATCGCTACTTCACAAGTTGTTTTGTTTGTGAGCATAGCAGATTTGTGATTTCGAAATCTAACTTTAAAGTCGCTAGTAGTAGATCCCACGTATTGCAGGCGACATTTCTTGCAAGAAGCCAAGTAAATCACATTTTTAGAATCACAGGAAAGTCTGGAGTGAATGATGTAATTTTTGCCCGTCTGAAAGCTGAGAAATGATTTAGATCCAACAAAGAAATTCTTACAGAGGTCGCATCTTTTCCTATCGCGTTTAAAGCAGCTATTGTTATGAGGAATGGTTTGTCTGTCGCTGGCAGTTTTAAAACGAGATGGTGCTAACAATTCTTTGAGATTCTTCGATCGACAAAAAGATGGTATGATAGAACTTCGAGGAAAAAGTTCTTTCAATTTAGGGTTAGATTGTAGAATAAACAAATGCTTTCTGATTATGTTGCCTACGTCGAGCAAATTAGGATTAAATCCTAACTAACAATCAAAATTTCGCAAAAAAGTTACTAAATCAACTATGAATTATTTAAACGAGAATTTTAATAGTAGTATTGTCTTCTTGACACAGTGCTGGAGCTTCCCACAAATTTTTAAAGTCAGATAAAAGGAGACGGAAGTGGTCACAGAGAATTCTCTTCTTGATATCACTGAGGATATAACGGATTATACCCTCATGATTTTCCTCTCCATTGCGAAAAGTAGCATTGTTACGAAACTTCCAAATGCCATACAGGATCGTTTTGATAAGGAAACGGGCCAGTCGCGCAGTTTTTGGGCTGGCTGGAGTCCTCTGAAAGAAGAAAACAGAAGTACAAGAGGAGAAGAAATTACCAAGGAGAGAGGAGATCGCAGGAGAAAAATACGACTACACTTTTTTAGCACAGGAACAATTAAGAAAACACTGTTCAATTGTTTCTTTTCGAGAGCAGTAGGCACATTTATCAGAATCAATGTAGCCTCAATGTTTTAGGGAATCGCGGACTTTAATGGTCCGAAGGACAATTGACCACAACACATCATTCTTGTAGTTTTCAGAAAAGTCATCTCGAACCAATTTCGAGAGATTGTCAAGTTTGAAATCGATAGGAAGAAAGGGGGACCAGAAACGGTGAAGAATCGGGGAAGCAGAATTCTCTCTTAACAAGGCGCGCTAGCATTTCTTAGAGGTAAAATCAAAGTCTTGCCACTCTTTGCGGGACACAATCTCGCGAAGAGTGGTAACCGTCGAAAAACATTTCTCGTAATATGGTGTGGAGTCATGCGAACTCGGAGTGGAATTGT